TAAGTTTGGATATTCTAAATTACATAAGTTTTACTCCAAAATCATGGTAAGACTATTCTTTTTATGTACTATGCTTCTTAGGATAGGTTTGAGCTTGAATGATTTTTGTTATCCTGAAGATATCGAGCTGTTTTTGGACCGATTATGGAGAGGAAATCTATGGATTCTGTAAGAAATGGAATTTGGGATTATAAGGAGGAAGAAGAGAAGATTTCAGCTATTGGAGATGACAATAAGCAAGGCAATTATGTTCCAGTAAGTGACCAAGAATCCTTTACATATTACCTTCTATTGATTCTTGTAAGGGCATAATCAGAATTCTAACCAAATTCTTGATTTTGACAGAAGAAAGCAGTGGTTCATCGAAGATCATCGACTCAAAGTTACAGAACCCCAAAACATGATCTGTGGGCTCATACTCATAAAAAATCAGACTATTTCCGGTTTTTCAATTGTCAAAGCGAGCCTGTAGAGTTCTTGAGAGAAGGAAAGAGTAATATTGGCAGTGTTTCCATCAGAAAGGAAGAAAAAACCACTCCTGTTTCAAGTGATCTAAGTAGAGCTATCTTCATGATTTGCTCCTCAGATAGCTTAAGTGACTGTGAACTGGCAATCCGTTTGGTGGCAAAATCTTGGCTTGATTCTCGTGGAGATCCTGAGACTGTAAAGACATTGTCAACAGCAACATTGATTGAAGGAATAATGAACGTTTTGTTTGCATCCGAAGATGATGAGATCTTGGAACTAGCAATCTCAATCTTAGCAGAACTAGTCACTAAGAAGGAGATGAATGGGCAAATCATTCTCAACTCGGATCCACAGCTTGATATTTTCTTGAGACTATTGAGAAGTAGCAGCCTGTTTCTTAAGGCTGCAATTCTACTTTACCTAGTGCAGCCTAAGGCTAAACAGATGATATCTATTGAGTGGATTCCATTAGTACTTCGAGTTTTGGAATTTGCAGATCAGCTGCAGACGTTATTCACGGTTCAACGTAGTCCTCAAGAGGCTGCATATTTCTTGCTTGATCAACTTCTTACTGGTTTTGATGAAGACAAGAATTTTGAAAATTGTAGGCAAGTCATTTCACTAGGGGGATTGGGGTTGTTGCTGAGAAGAGTTGAAATGGGAGATGTCTCAGAAAAGAGTAAGGTTGTTTCTGTTATGTACTGTTGTGTTCAATCTGATGGAAGCTGCAGGCATTACCTGGCCAACAACTTGAATAAAGATTGTCTTCTTCCTCTTCTTTTGCTTCAAAACCAGCAAAACGCCCGCGGACACATTTTTGCATTTCTCACAGAGCTTCTCTGCATTGACAAGTAAGATTTTCTTGTAGCACTCATATGAAATTTTCTTCTTCTTACATTCAAATGAAAAAGTACTAATTTTGTATGAAACAACAGGCAAATTCAAAGAATAGAATTATTACGTGGTCTACTAAGTGGATGGGGAATGGTGAACACCTTGCACATTTTGCTAGTTTATCTCCAAAGAGCTCAACCAGATGAACGCCCCATTATCTCTGTCATATTGTTACAGCTTGATCTTTTGGTAAGTCCATTTCCATCATAATCTTATCCGGTTTAAAGAATCATCCCCTGAAGAGAAAATCCCCGCTTTTATAAAAAGAGATCCTCATTTAGTTGCAGTCATGCTGCAGGGAGATCTGAATGAGTGCAGTGTATATAGAGAAGAAGTAATAGAAGAAATAATAAAAGCATTGGACTGTCAAGTATTCAATGAGAAAGTCCAAGTACAATCAGCTAGAGCTCTACTTATACTGGGGAGTTGTTTTTCCTATACTGGAGAGCCAATAGTGGAGCAATTGCTGTTAAAAGAAGCAGGCTACGACGAAAACACTGGGGATTCCTATCTTGGCAAGAACTTCATCCTTAACAGTTATATGCACCTGGTAATTTCCCCTTTTCGTGACCCTTCTTCCCATTGAGCATTAACCAAAACTCGAATTCACCTAGTTCTTCTACTAAGTTTCAGAATGAAGAGGAAGAGGCAACAAGAAATTGGCAAAGGAAAACAGCAAGAGTGTTGCTTAACAGTGGAAGCAAGAGGCTATTGGCTGCTCTTGTAGATACAATAGCCAATGGAATTCCCTGTTTAGGAAGAGCAAGCCTAGTTACTGTTTCCTGGATGAGCAATTTTTTCTGTTCCATTGAGGATAAAGGAGTTCGGTCTGTAGTATGTTCGGAGCTAATTCCAGATCTGATGAAGTTATTGAAGTACAATAATGTTATAGAGGAAAGAGTTCTTGCTTCACTTTCATTACTCAAACTGGCTAACAATTCAGGTATGGGATTTTGCAAGCTAACCTAATCTAACTTAATCACACAACATAGTACATGAACTTTTTTCTCATAGTTTTGGTCTTTGTTATTTTCAGATTATTTGGTGAAATTGTCTCCATTGGATAAGGAGCTCATAAGCGACCTGCATAAACTCTCAGAAGTAACATGGACAGCGAAGGAGCTTATTTCAATTATTTCGAGCAGCTCTAGGCATCATCAACTTAATGTACCTTAACAATTTGTTTTTCTTCAGTAACTTGATCATTCTACCTTGTACATGTCCATGAGGCACAAGATGCCTATATTTTAGTCCTTCTTGGGAGATAATTTTAGTAATAAATGAGGTTATTCGTTTTGTTCTTTCTTGATTCATTCATAAATAAATCCAGTTGATTGCAAAGCGAGTATTGCCAAAAGTCATTTGCCACAAAACTCAGACAAACAAGTCACAAATACAAGATCACATTAATCACCAAAATTTTCCCTTGAAAGATGCATGCTGTAGTAGGAAGCTGGCTGAGAGCATATATAAAAAGAATTGAAGCAGTTTTGAGATAATATATAATCATCAGATTATAAAAGAAACAATGCAGTCTCTCTGAACTCTGAATGTACTTTTGTAAATGACATTGGTAATCTAGCCAAGTAGTCTTGGCTTTTTCATTGCCATACAAATTAACTAAAACCTTCGTAGGTGCTTCAATCATCATTCAAGACCAGATGCTTTGGCAAAAGACTATAGCACAGGTTATGCCTTTACTTCTGCAATACTACAGTCTACAGCAGCAATGACTATGTCACAATACCATTTGTTGCAGTCTTGCAGAACCTGCAAATAACATTGCAAACTGAGGCTGTCAAGATTTTAATCACCTTTCTTTCAAAAACTAGAAATTCCCCTGCACGCACTCCCAGCCCCCCTCCTTTTCTGAAGCTGAAAGTCGTCATATAGCTTATATTGACGGAAGATAGTACTAGTACAGTGGAAATAAAACATTGAACTTGGAGTACATATCCAATAGGCGGATCCAAGATTTAGACAAATTTTGAACATAGCCATGTTATAATTTATATTATTTAAATAGGGTATAAATTTAATCAGTTTGGTTTATTTGGATTTCGGTTCGGGTTATTCGTCTTTAAGGTTAATATAGACAAACCGATCGAGCAAAAAAAATATGTAATAATTATAATAACTCGAAAAAAGCATAAGATTCAAATGGAGTATGCATTTTGTACAAGAAAAAAGGCTCGTTGTCAATTTATATTTGGATACTCAAGGCAAAAACTTATACTAATAAGTCTAAATATTAAAACATAAGTAAGCTTACAAACATTTTTCAATTTACTATTTTATATAAAAATTAAGCTCACTTGATATTATATATAATTGTCCTACTTTAGAGCATTTTGAATACAAAATAAACTTTCATTCTTGATTAGAACCATAACTTATTCAAGGATTTCTATTTATATTTTTTTGGTTTCGGCAAATAGATTTACGGAGTTGTGCTCCTGAAGAAAAAAATTATTTTTTTTATCATCTATTCATAAATCACGGAGGAGTTAGCAAAGCGCAATAGTGGGGATTTTTTTTTCACGAGGAAAAAATAGATTTGTGAAAGAATTTTTTTATATAATTTATATTTAATGTTTAAAGTAAAAAAAGGAGAAAAGAAATTTTAAAACAAACTAATAAAACCAAAGAAGAAACAAAGGAATTTGTAGCGGTTAAATGCACCAAACGAAGCTTCTAAAACAATTGTGCCAAGCAGGACTCGATCTCCTGCCGTAGGGATGGAAATGACGGTGATTTTCCAATGGCACCTAGAATTATTTTGTTACTGGGAGTGCCACTTAAATTATTTGTATACCTTCCTTCTATATATACATGCATCTATATATACTATTGCATAGTCTCGGCCAAACCTTGCGGGTGGCGTACCACCCCATCCCTTAGACATAAATCCGCCCCTGAAAGTATATATATATATATATATATATATATAAATGTGTGTGTGTAATAAAGAAAATATTAAAGAAAGCAGCAATGACCTTTATTCCCTGTTAAAAATAAGTTTAAAATTACAATTGGAAGCTCTTAGAGCGCAATTGTAATTTGATAAACAATAGTATTATGTAAAAAGAATCACTTTTAATTTTGCCATATTGTGTAGATATGGTGTTATTAGTTATAATCAATTAGGGAATATATTAGTATTTCGTTGTAATTTTATAATTTTAATTTAGAACAGGAATCTATCATACTTCAATCTGATCCTCTCTTTGCATCCTGTCATAAACAAAATATCCTTCAGTTTTGGCATTGAAACCTGCTTATCGAGTAGAACCCTTTCTTTCTCAAGAAAAGGGGCATGCAGGGAAAGGCCCCGAAAAGGCCGAACATGAGAATCCTTTCTTACTTATTTATGTATAATTATGTATCCTTTAACTTACTCTCGGAAATGTTCGAAATTTCATTGATGGTTAAATGTAACCACCCTATGAAACAAAAAAAAGTCCTCTTGCGTGATATCCTGTACATCAACGAGATACAGCCTTTTAATTCCTAATTGAGAATTTGAAGATACTACTATAAAAGACCAATTACTGAGTGGTCAACCAAGTATATCGAACAAACTATATACATAGGAAAAAGAAACACGAAGAGAGAAAATGCAAATCACAATGAATAACTGATAAACAAACTTCAAGTAGCTCACACACTTGCATAGAAGAAATTCAGTTTCTGTCTCAGAATACATAATAAAAGACATCACACAATTTAAAACAGTCTGCAAACTTCAAACATACTGGCAGTGGCCTCAAAAGACCAAAGTAAATACACAAAATAAAACGTCAAACCATTAAGACATCACTGGACAAACTCACTCCTAAAAGTCACACCTCTAAGAGTGAGGACCATAGAAAATAAAAGGCAGTAAAACAAGCATGACATCCCATTAGATTCACGCACAAACACCTTTGCTAGGTCGATAGAAAGGAGGTTCAAATGCGTTTGGAAATGGGCATCTCCAAGATGTGGACAACCATCTCCTGCACCAGTGTGGGAGTGGTGAAGGAGATCAAAAAGCTGGGTTGTCTATCATCAGACAGAACAGTATGGGGTACCTGCGATCAGACAAAGAACATTATGTTCTGCAGATCGGGGTGCAAATTATAGAATCCTTGTTCAAATGAGGCAGTTGAAGAAGAAGATGACGCCGAAGTTGTGAAGGATGTAGTTGAAGACACAGGAGACTGCATCTCCATAAGCACCTCTTGGAACATCCGTCCCCTGTAGGCAACAAGGTCAGCATAGTACACTGGTGGAACAAGTGAAACAGGTTTTGTGCACCGCGCGAAGGTGAAGCACATGTTGTATATAAGCTTCTGTAAGCGGTCAGAATTGAAGCCATTCTCATCCCACAAAACATGATAGTGAGTAGGCTTGCTAGTTCCCAATCCTCCAAAATGGCTGCAAAGATAGAAGTCAAAATCAGATGGATGAACAATTATTGTGTCCACAACAGTACCCGGAGGTACATTGCCAGGGCCACCATCAGGAAATAGTCGTGTATGGTGTCTTTTCTGAGCCACAACAAGAGTAATTGCTGGTCGATAGTGATTATCGTATATAGCCTTCATCAAATCAACCAGCTCTTCATTAAGTACCATATCAAATTGGCCCTCACTCACACCATCACGGAAAACAACAATTCTGTTTGGTTTAAATGAGTTGAGTCGAGTGTAAGCATTCAGTAGGTCTGCACACATGCTCCCAAAATTTAGTATCTTCTCAGTCCTATGGTCCTGAGGACAAACTCTAGCCGCATATCTATTAGCAGCTGGCCAGTTGACAGTGGCAACAACAGCTGCTATGGATGGACATGTCACATTCCTTGCAGCAGGATGATTAACATCAGCTCCAATGAACATGACATTGTCTTCACCTCCAAAATTAGGGAGTCTTTCCATAAGTTCCATATTGCTACCTCCCAGTTTTGCATTAATCTTAATACAGAGGTTTGCAAGATATTGGTCCTGTCCCTTGTTGGCTAGAGATGACAAGCAACATTGCGTTACAACACCAATTTTTGTTTCAGAGACCCATTTGAGATATTTGTATCCATTGTGCCTTGCTGCCATAACACAAACTATCATTTGTAGCCGACCCTTGATTTTCTTGTCAGCTGCATGAACCACACCTCTGAGGAGATCTTCAACCTTACTAACCGCAGAGAGATCATACATGCCAGTGAAATGTTTTATGACAGGTTCTTCCATGTTGATCCCTAACTTTTTGCACCGCTCTTTCAATCTATAGACAAATTCATCAGCTCTTAGCCTAAAGTTGGGGCTGCGTTCCTGGGAGCTAAAATCTATCAGAGCCCATCGCTGAAGTGCCTTGCCTTCCACCACAGATTTCCCAACAAGGTTCCACTGGCATTTATTATCCACAGGAACTCGACTTTGACCACCTAGCTTCAAATCAGGGGCAGGAAGGATACGACCCGAAACACAGGTCATGTTCCTATCAACTCCAATTTCAAAATTACGGGTGACAGCCCTGTAATAATCAAGTGAAAGTTAGGAAAAGAATATGTAACAAAAAAAATACTCTAATAACATAATAACATATATCAATATATCACCACATTCACAAAATCATGGAGGCATTGCAAAGATGAATGGTTCCAACTCACTACTTTATGAAATGTCTAAGCAAGGAAAGAAACCCAATACAAGATTATAAAAATACCGGCGGATATTGGAATGACAAAACACGCGCAAACCATAGAATTAACGTGATCAAGGGTTAAACATGCAGCATAATTGACCACAACTTTGTAACAAGTGTATCAAATACAAATTCAGTACTTAATGAAATGGCTAAGCAATGAGAGAAACACGACACAAGATTAAATAATACCAGCGCCATAAGTGGAATGACTAAACACGAGAAAACCATAGAATTAACGATCAGAAGTTCTACATGCAGCTTAACTGGACCACAACTTTGTAACAACTAACGAGTGTATCAAAAAAGAATTTCAAGGAAGCATAAAAAACTCATACAAGGAAATACAGACATAAAAGAAATTTAAGGAATTCACATACCCGCACGGCCCATCTTCAGCCCGTACCATTTCACATATTGTATCCCTTCTCTCTCGCGGTGGAGCTAGTGATATTTTTTTCAAAAACAAGGCTGAATCCTTATCTAAATGCTCCTTAGGATATCGCTGTCCCTCGATCAAGACACAGAATTCCATTGGGACATAGTTTTTCTTATTACCTTTTCCAAGATCTAATGAAGGTAAATTTTGGTACCTAATCTCCTTCTGATATTTTTCCCTGAAGTAGTCAACAAGAAAAACATCCCTAGGAGGATCTTTTCCTTCTGGATCTTCAAGGAGAAAATGAAGGTCGCGAGTCATCTCATCAGTCAGCTTCTTAACAACATATTTCTGACTGCTACGACGATGAGTTACTTTGACTTTCAAACCAACCAATGCATCCTCTGCAGCTCTTTTACGAGTAAAATTATTTTCATTAAACTCTCCAATATATTCCCTCAGGAAATCTAGCACAGGCACTGCTTTGCGGAATGCCAAGACTGAGTAATCAAGGCACAAGGCAAGCCCTCCAGATGTAGGCTTTAGGCTTTGTTGAAAACCTCTATATGCAGCAACTCCAAATCCAAAGTCATGTTCAGCCAAGTGCTCATTTGAGTAGAAGCTACGACCTGCAACTATCCTGAACCTAGAAGGATTTTCTTTCATAACCAAATCCATTCCTTGTAGTACATCACGAGGTATGTAAGAGAGGTTTCCACTCAAATATTCTTTCAACTTGCAAAGTTTCAGTTCAGTAACAAACTTAATGGTGAAGACATACGAGCGTCCCCTACCATCATCCCCATCAGAGCAGTTCACAGTGAATCGCCCAGTAGGAAGTTGGACAGCACTGAAAATGTTCTTCTCACCATCATATGCAGTTTTATCTATTGGAAATTGAACAGGATTATCAGCAAACAGTTTGTCTCTTATCATACGAAGATCCGACTTGTTTATTGACCTCTTCACAGCCCGGGTCTCATCAGTCATGATTTGCTTGATATCCACATCATAATGCATAATGGTAGACTGAGGATTAAATCTAACAGGAAAATGATTAGCAAGCAGTCTAATTGACTTGACAGCAACTTTTCCCGTATCAGGTCGTGCAATAGGTACAAGCTTTCCGTTGTTACTTTCCGGAGGAGATGATGTACTCTCTTTTTCTGTAATACTCAGCGACTTCAGATCAACTTGAACAGGATCTACACAAAAAGATACAATGCATTTTAAAATTCTTGAACATAAAATGAAAGAACACACCATTTTATGGGTATGAGTTAATACCAGAAGACTGAGGAGGAGGAGGACTAGAGTCTGAAGGTGGACCCCACGGGCGAACATTTGATGCTTCTGAGCTACTGGGTTGCACATCCCGCTGCTGCTGGTTTCCGGGACCATGTTGTGGTGGCTGCTGCGACGGTGGCCTGACCCAA